CCGACGTCATCCGCACCGCAATCCTGGGCGGAGCGCGCGCGAAGCAGGCGAGCGCTGCGAGAGCCTCCCGCGCCTCTGGGCGCGCGCGGGTCCCCCGTGGCCCCCCGCCGGAATCGGACGCCCCCCGGGACAGCGCGCACGACCTCAGCGGGGCGGCAGGACGGCCCAAAAGAGGACCCGAAGCGGGCCCTGCGGCGGCCCAAGACGGCCCGAAGAGCTGCCAAGAGGCTCCACAGATAGCTCGGGGGCGGAAAAGAGGGGGGCGATGACTACGGGGGGGGGGATATCATGGCGTGGGCCATGATATTTCCCCAGATCTCATGGCGCTTCTTCTTATTCCATTATGTCCCTGGCTTCCCCGCTGGGCCGCGCACATGCCGCCAGTCATGATTTACACCCCCCCCCTCTTGGACACCCCCCTCTTGGCCGCTCCCGAATAGCAGACAGCTCACGAGGACCCCGATGACGGCCCCACGAGGCCCAGCGTCAGGCCAAAAGCTTCGGTTGTGCAGCGTTGTCGCATGGTCTCCATGGCGGGCCCAGAACGGCCCCGCACGGCTCCAGGTCCTTCCAAGATCGCCCCAAGACGGCGCAAGGTGACACCAAGACGGCGCAAGAGGGCCCGAAGACGGCCCAAGACGGGCCCCAGGCGGCCTGACAGAGCCCCGAGAGTGGCACCCCAAGGCAGCCCAGAGAGGGCCCCATGAGCTGCACAAGAGGGCCCAACACGGGCTCCGAGACGGCCCCAGACCCCCAGCATGGCCCCAGGGCGCCCAAGAGGGCCCCGAAACTGCCCAAGAGGGCCCCACAGTGGCCCAAGAGGGCCCCAAGAGCTGTCCCGGAGGGACCGCTCCGAGATGCGATGCAGTCTTCCAACAGACTCCGACAGTTACCAAGGAGCGCCCATGAGAGCCTCCAGTCCCAGCATCTTTGGGCGTGTCTGGATCCTCAGACTGCCCAGGAGGGCCCCGAACCTGCCCCAGGGGGCCGCAAGAGCTGTAGCTAAGGATCGTTCCGAGATGTTCTACAGTCTCCCAGCAGACACTGACAGTTGCCAAGCAGTTCCCACGAGAGCCTCCAGCCTCAGCACATGTTGCCGTTTCAATTGTTTCTCTTGAGACAGCACACAGAAAGTCCCCAGACCATTCCTACATGCCCCGCGGCCCCCCAAGAGACCCTGGTAGTTGCCAGCCAGCGCCGAAGAGAGCCTCAAGCCCAGGCACCTTTGCCGTTTCTGGATCGCCCGAAGCTCCAACGAAAACCCTGAACCCCAAACAACGCCCCAGAAAGCCCTCTCCATTTTCTCCTTTCTTCTCTTCCCCCTCCTTCTGCTCTCCTCTCTCCTCTCCTCCCTACCTGCACACCAGCAAGCCTCGGCCCCCCCCCCTACGGCCGATGAGGGGTGACAGGGAAGACCTCCACGACAGGGAAGCCCCAGACTCCAAACAAGGCCTCAGAAAGCTCCTTTCCCCATTCTCTCTTCTCCTCCTCCTCCTCTCCTCCTCCTCCTCCTCCTCCTCCTCCTCCTCCTCCCCCTCCTCCCCCTCCTCCCCCTCCTCCTTCCCCTCCCCCTCCTCCTTCTCCCCCTCCTCCTCCTCCTCCTCCTCCTCCTCCTCCTCCTCCTCCTCCTCCTTCTCCTCTTCCTCCCCCCCTCCTCATCCTCTGCGTCTGGGCGCCTCCAACCCTCTCGCTGGTGCCTCTCTCCCTCGCCTTCTTCTGTTCGCGTCGGCGATACCTGCGCGTGGGGGGCCGACACTTAAACTTGCATGTCGTGGATTTCCTCACTCGTCTCTTCTACAATGCAGGAGCCCGCGCGCGCCAGAAGGTGGTGATGTGCATCAATCGGGTTTTTTTAACGGGCCGTGGGATGCCGAAAAGCGCCCCCAGGGCAGCTTGGACAGCCCTGAGGGCCTCGGGCCACGCCCCCCATTCGGCCCAACGAAGCCCGAAGACGGCCGAAGAGGCGCCCAAGACGGCCTGAAGACGGCCTTAGTTAGCTTCACGACGGCTCAACAAGCCCCCAAAACACCCCCAAAAAAGTTCAAGGGGCCCCCACGACAGCCCCGAAAGCAATCGTTCCCATCCTGTCAGACAGCGTACATGTCTTACGCATTCGTTTTGTGGTCTTCACGGCGTTCCGGCAGGCCCCAGAGGCCCCCCAAGTTACCCCAGGGCAGCCTCCGCGGCCCCCATGGGAGCGCCAAGACGGCCCGAGACGGACCCCTAGGACGGCCCGAGAGGACCCCCAAGAGGCTCCAAGAGCGGCGCAGGGCAGCCCAAGACGGCCCCCAAACGGCTCCAAGGGCGGCCCGTGAGGGCCCCAAGAAGGCCGGAAGAGGCCCTGAGAGGCCCCTGCACAGCTCTCAAGCGGCCCCGATGGGCTTCAAGCTTGTCTCCGCGAGGGCAGGGCGGAGCAGAGGCGGGAAGCTTTGCGCAGATCCAGCAGAATCGCTATAGACGCTCCATGGAGCCTGGTTGCCTGTCTCCTGGAGAGGAGGAGGAGGAGGAGGAGGAGGAGGAGGAGGAGGAGGAGGAGGAGGAGGAGGAGGAGGAGGAGGAGGAGGAGGAGGAGGAGGAGGGAGGAGGAGGACGACACAAAGGAGGAGGAGGAGGAGGAGGAGGAAAAGAGGAACGACATCGATGATACTCCAAGGTGGAGTCGGTTCGCCTCCATGGTGGGACGCGCCGCCCATACTGGACCGCGTGCGCTGCGTCGTGCGCAACGCGGGTATCGGCCAGCAGTCCTAGTCTCTACTACATTGCAGGGCCCAGTGCGTGCCAGAAGGGCGCAGGCTCCATTAACTCATAACCGCCCCGGGCTGGCCCCGGGCCGCCTGGGGCCGCCCCGGGAGGCCCCAAGACGCGCCAAGGAGGCCCCAAGAGGCCCCCAAGACGGCTCCGGAGGGCCCCGGCACGCCCCAAGATGGGCCCAAGACGCTCAAGATTGGCCCAAGACGGCCCAAGAAGCCCCCAAGACGTGCCAAGAGGCTTCCCAAGAGGCCTCCCAAGAGGGTCCCGAGCGACAGAAATCGTCGATTTCTACTGTGTTTTTCGATGTTTTCGACCTCCTCGCCTCGTCGGCTTCCCGACGCTCCAAGACGGCCCAAGAAGCCCCCCCGACCGCTCCAAGACGGCCGAAGAGGACCCCAAGAGAGCCCCAAGACGGGCCAGGACGGCCCCCAGACGGTCCCAAGACGCCCCAGGACGGCCCCAGGACGGCCCAGGAGGCGCCCAAGACGGCCCAAGAGGCACCCAAGACGACCCCAGGAGCGGCCCAAGACGGCCCACGACAGCCCAAGAGGCGCCGAGGCGGGTCTCAGACGGCCCCAAGACGGCCCAAGAGGCACCCAAGACGGCCCGAGAGGGCCCTAAGAGCCCCCAGCCCGGGAGACCCAAACGAAGGCCGAAGAGGCTCCGAAACGGCCCCCACTCGCCGCGAGGGTGCCAACACGGCCCCAAACCGGCCCAGGACGGCCCAAGGCGCGCTCAAGACGGCCCAAGACGAATCCAAGACGGTCCCAGGAGGGTGCGCCCAGGACGGCCCAAGGACGCGCCCGTTCAGGGCCTCAAGACGGGCCAAGATGGCAAGAGAGTCCCAGCTGGCAAAAATCGTTAATTTTCCATTGTTTACTGTTACACCCTTTGCGTTTCCCGCCGTTTCGGCGGTCCGATGCACCAAGAGGCCCCAGAAAGTCCCAGGAGGGTCCGAGGAACCGCCCAGGAAGGCCCCAAGACGGGCCAAGACGGACCCAGCACAACCCAAGGCGCGCTGCGACGGCTCAAGACGGCTCCAAGACAGCCCCAAGAGGGTGCCAACACGGCCCCTGCTGGGCCCAGGACGGCCCAAGGAGGCGCACAGGAGGGGCCCAAGACGACTCCAAGGCGGCCTCCTCACGGTCCCAGACGGCTCCAAGACAGCCCCACGAGGACCCCGATGGGCCCAGGACGGCCTACGGACGCGCCCATGAGGGGCCCACGACGAACCAAGACGGCCCCATCAGGGCAAACGGCGCCCTCAAGACGGGCCTAGACGGCTCCAAGACGGCCCTTTGAGGGAGCCAACGCGGCCCCACACCCTTCGGGCGCACACTTGGGGGGGCTGGGAGCTTGCGACAAGTCTCCCACATTCATTGTCCTGCCCCATTCTGTTCGCCTGGAGGCCTCCTCCAACCCTGTGGGCGAACAAGAGGAATCCCAGCGGGACGCCAACCCTGGGGCCCGTGGGCCCCGCGCCGCTTGGGCAGAAGACGAACGCCGGGTCTGACAGGCCAGCTACCGCCCCCCTTTGCCCGATATGCTGTGCCATTCTGTTCCCCCAGGGGCCTTGGCAAACTCTTCGGGCCAAGCAGACCGGACCCCTGGGACAGCAGCCAATTGATATGACCCTGGGACCTCTCCGCATTCTTCGGACGAGCATCTGGGGGGCCCAGGAGATTCGGACATGTCTTCCCCATTCCTTGCCCTGTCCCGTTCTGTTCGCCCGAAGGCCTCCACAGACCCTCTGGGCGAACAGAATGGGACATGGCGAACAAACCCTCCCGTTGGCGGTGATGCGACTGGATCGCACCATCAAGGCGCGCCCGGAGGTGATGGCCGACCCAACAGCGGTTTCTCTTAAGAGTTCACTGGATTTCAAATTTTCTTGAAGCTCTCTTGGGCCCTCCCTGTAGATCCTTGCGAGCCTCCCCGGCGCTTTCGGTGGCTTTCCCCGATGGTCTCCCGAGCCCTTCCCCAAGCGCTCCTGAGACGCCTCAGATGGGCTTCGACTTCGACGCACATTCCCGAGAGACTTCGAAACTGTCCTCAATAGGAGGGGGGTGAACGAGCAGTGCGCTGGGCCAAGCTGCTGGAGCGCTGCAAGAGCTCGGACACGAAGGCGCGGTCTCGCTGCCGCCGCCCGAGCCGCCGCCGTGTTTGTAGATTTTCGGTACAATCTGCGCCGTTCCTCCGAGAACCATTCCAGAAAGATGTCGTGGACGGAGTCCACGGGTCAGCCCTAGTCAGCTACAGTGCGGGGGTCAGCGCGTGCGAGAAGGGCGAGCAGTGGCAGCGGGCCTTGGCGCTGCTCAGCGAGATGCGGGAGGCGAAGCTGGAGTCCACTGTCATCAGCTACAACGCTGGGGTCAGTGTGTGCGCAAAAGGCAAGCAGTGGCAGCGGGCCTTCACGCTGCTCAGCGAGATGCGGGAGGCGAAGCTGGAGCCCAATGCCATCAGCTACACCGCTGGGATCAGCGCGTGCGAGAAAGGCGAGCAGTGGCAGCGGGCCTTGGCGCTGCTCAGCGAGATGTGGGAGGCGAAGGTCGAGCGCGACGTCATCAGCTACAGCGCTGGGATCAGCGCGTGGGCAAAGGGCGATCAGTGGCAGCGGGCCTTGGTGCTGCTTAGCGAGATGTGCGGGGTGAAGCTGGAGCCCAACGTTATCTATACTGCAATGCCAGGCTCGGCAGGGCGGGACCAGCACGCTGTTTTGCTGGCTTCGGCTGTGCTTTGTTTCTCGGCAGGAAGGTGCAGGAAAACAGGTAGAGCAGAACGAACAACAAAACGAAGACATAACGAAACACAGCGTTTAGGTCCAGCCCTGGTGATCGTTTTTTATTCATTGTTTTGCCGATCGGCGTGGGTCCCAACATGTCCCAGCCCCCCCCCTTCCGCCCCCCCCCCATGGAGTAGATCTTGGCTGCTTTTGGCGCCTGTTTCAGACAGGTGGAGGCTCCCCCAGAGGCCGCACGATTGCAAACAGTCGCATTCAGCAGAGGTCCAGAGCCAGATCCCCCCCCCTCCCCCCCCTTCCGCCCAATGCCGAAACGCCGACTGAGAAAACGCTCACCTGAGGCTCAGCGCGTGCTGTGCTTCGGCTGTGCTTTGCTTCTCGTCCTGGCAGGGAGGTGCAGGAAAGCAGGCAGGGCAGAACGAAACACAGAACGCAGACAGCACGAAACACGACGTTTAGGTCCAGCCCTGGTGATCTTTTTATATTCATTGTTTGGCCGATTAACACATCCAAATCCCAACACCCCCCCTCCCGCCCCCCCCCCATGGAGTAGATCTTGGCTGAATGGCAGAACGAAACACAGAACGAAGACAACACGAAACACGACGTTTAGGTCATTCACTCCGCCCGCTGGGCACGCGGTGGCGGCACCTCCGCGGTCCTGCCCGTGTGGCGCCGGCGACCTGCCCCGAGAGAGCCCGCGCGAGGGGCTCGAGAGGCCCGCAGGGCGCCCCTCTGCCACGCCCAGGAGGAGGAGGAGGAGGAGGAGGCGGAGGAGGGGGAGGAGGAGGAGGAGGAGGAGGAGGAGGAGGAGGAGGAGGAGGAGGAGGAGTAGGACGATGGCGAGGACGATGGCGAGGACGATGACGAGGATGATGATGCTGATGATGATGATGATGATGATGATGATGATGATGATGATGATGATGATGATGATGACGATGACGATGACGATGACGATGACGATGATGACGACGATGACGATGACGATGCTGATGATGACGATGACGTTGACGATGACGATGATGACAATTGGGCACCTGAGAGCAAAGATGCGCTCGGCAGGATCCATGCGCAGCTTCTTCGGTCCGAGCCCGACCGCTCCCCCGAGGCCCTCTACCTCCTGGCGCCCGTTCCGCAGTTCTATGGGGTCGACAACGCTGCCAAACTCCTCGACCTCTGGACCCACCCCCTGCTGGGGGAGAAGTTCGCCACCACGGTTAGGAAGGTCACGATCGTCGTGCAGCCACTGGAATACGTGCTTCCTGGTCCTCGTGGGCCGCGGCATGTCCGTCAAGGGCTTGCATGCTTCCACATGTCGCGAAACGGGCCTCGCGCTGCCCCCAGCGTCGCTGCCCCGCTCACCCCCCTCCTGCAGCTGGAGGACTACAACGCCGTCGTCGTCGACGCGCACGCGGACCACGTCCCCGAGATCATGCGCAAGCTCGCCGACCCGCGCTACGACGACGTTTCGGTGAGGCATCCGACGCGCAGCCCGGGCAGCTCGGACGCCAGGCGCCGGGCTAGGTTGGAGCTCGTCTTCAAGGAGCGCCTCTTGGACATGGCCATGGAGATGCGCATCCGAGACATTAAACGGCACGTCCTAGATGTCGACAGCTACATCGGCCTCAAGTCCTTGTACACCGACCCGGACGCGCTTGTCCTCGAGTGTGTGTCCCCCCTGGCCGTGGCTAGGGTCAGCACGCTTTGCTCGCAGCTCATCTTCCTCACCAGCGATAGGGCCCTGATTCGCACTGCGGCCTCGAAGGACACGTGGGAGAAATTGATGAACGACGCAGCTAAGGAGGACGAGGCACTTACTATCACGAGCCTTCGCTGGAAGGCTGGCAAATATGGAGGGCGGCACTTCGCCACTGTTGACGCTACTGTTGGCGCTCTGACGGCCTCCCGCCGTCGGAGGCACCGCAGGGGGAAGCCAGCAACGATCGTCGACCATATCACCGAGATTCGGATCAATGGGGAGGTCGGCCACGACAGCAAGGGGGTCATCAACAGGCTGCTGCAGCACGCTTGCCAGACCCAGGCCCTGAACCTTCAGCCGGCGCGAGACTCAGAGCGTCCGGAGATCGGCACTTCGGTGCACCTGTTGGACCTCAACCCCACGGCCCCTCCAGGCCACGCGCGGTTTTACCTGGGCAGCAGCGCCGACGTCCGCAAAGTCTACCAGGCACTCCATGGGCAGGTTCTCCAAATCGGCTCCGACACGGTCTCCATCACCGTGCAGAACGACGCTGCGGAAGCCGGCCCTGTTTCGGGAAACGGGGCGCGGGGGAGCTGAGGGGAAGCTCTCCCGCTGCATCGAATACAGCGCGCCCCAGCGCACCCACCGGAATTCAGATCTTCACATGCAGTGGCACCTCCTATTGGATCTTGGACGTCGTAATCGTTCTCCGCTCCGCCGCCGCGGTGCCGAGTACGACCCGCCGCGTCTCTTCCGGTTCTCAGGCGCCCAATTCTTCTTCGGCCACTTCTTATTCTTCTTCATTGCCGTGCATTCGTATTGCTCTCCAGCAACTTTACCCCGACGTCACCCCCGACCAACGCAGCGACGTCCCCTTCTGCCTCCTGCTTCGCCGCAAACTGTATCGCGACTTCGGCGTGGACTGCCCATCCGACATCGGCCCGTCTAGCGATTCGCCGACGGATCCACTAGTACGAACATTGGCTCGCCGCCAGCACCTGCCCTACAATGGGGACGTCTCCATAACTACGTGGAATGCCCAGGCGCTCTTCGCTGAGAACCCGTCCTGTTTCAAGCGGAAGTCTAAGTGCGCACACGACCTCATGACCAGCCACGACATAGGCCTCTGGACGGAGGCGCACGGCACGGCGGGCGGCAGCTCTGTCTGGACGAACCCATCCGCTTGCCAGTCTTGGTGGGCCCCTGGCCCCACCACGGCAGCCGCTGGAGTGGGCATCACCGTCACAGACAAGTTCTTCGCCCTCTTCGGCGACCCCGCCCACGTGGACGATGATCATGCCGGGTCGCGCTGCTCGGCTCCGTCTCCGAGGCCAGCACGGCAACCTCGACTTGTATGTCCTCTATTTTCGCACGGGTTCGGAAGTGAAGCCTCACGATGTCGCTGCCGCCGGCCTGGAGCACATGGACCGCCTGCCGTCCTTCTTCGAGCTCAGGGAGGCGCTTCGTAGGCGTCTCTCCTCGCACATTGCCCCGAGAGACTCCGCGCTCAGCATCCTCGGCGGCGACATGAACTACGTGGCCGACGAGCAGGACCGGATCAACATGGCCAGAATGGTATCTTCTGGAGCACGCGACTCCCGCGAGGAGGCCCGCTGGGACACTATGGTTGCACAGCCGCACGGTCTACGCGAACTCCACCAGCCCTGCATGACCTACGCGTCGCCCAATGCACGTTCCCGGCTCGACAGGCTATATTGCAACCAGGAGCACACGCACTACCTGGACTACAACATGTCGTGCGCGGCCCTCCCGTGGTGTCCCGAGCTATCCCGACATAGGGCTGTCAGTTTCCGCCGCGCGCGTCCGTGCCGCGATTCGGACTCCGCGCAGCCACTCGCCGACCACGTCGTCGACCACCCCGACTGGCCATCCAAGGTAGCCTTAACTTTTGGAGAATTGCTCGATCAGTCACCGGGGGCGTCTCGGCTGAGAAAGGCTTCGTTTCTCGAGGAGGCCATGCGCACTGCCGCCGCCCACCTGGACGGGCCAGCGCACGCTGCTTCGGGCACGCTGAGCGCGGAAGACCGGCTGGGCACGACGATGCGCTTCCTGAGGGCTTCGGAGCGGCAGTCCCCGAGTGCGGTTAGCTCTTGCATCTCCCGCTACCCCGCCCTGTGCACGCTGGTCGACAACCCGTGCGACTTCACTGGCCCGCCCCAGGCACGTCTCAGATTGGTCCGGCAGCATGCGCTCGACCTTGCCCGCGACCACGCTCTCGATGAGCTCAACCAGTTGCACGGCGATCTCGCGGACCTCCCAGCGGGGTGTGCCGCGCACCGCCGTCGGCGGGTCCACCGGCTGATTCACCGCCTCGCCCCCGGCCGCAACTGCGCGACCTTCGCGATCATGGACAAGCAGGGCCACGCGACCACCGACCCTTCGGCGATGGCCTCCACCCTACGGGACCACTGGTCGAAGGTATTCGCAGCCCAGCACACCGACGCCGCCCTCCGATCCCAATGGCAGCACGAGGAAGCAGACCACGGCACGCCAGAAGATGCAAGACACCTCCCCTTCAACAAGCCCTCCCGGGAGGACTTCAAGAACGCCTTGCGCCTCTCCAAGAACAGTGCGCCGGGCCCAGATGGCATTACTTTCCGGGCATGGCGCAGGCTTGGCGATTTTGGGACTACCATCTTGTACGACGCCTTCTCCGCCCTCACTGCCGACGACGCGCTGGAGGCTCTCGACCAGGACTGGCGGGACTACAATTCCAGCCTCTTGGTCTTCTTGCCGAAAAAAGCATTCCGGCGAGACCGAGGGCGGCATCCTGGCGTACGAGGCCGCCAACACCAGGCCGCTCAACATAACGAACGCCGACAATCGGCTCATCTGCAGCGCTGTCCGGCTGCGCATCGAGCCGCAGATCGCCCCGGGGATCGCCGGCGAGCAGCGGGGGTTCATCAAGGGACGGTCGATGCTCGCCAACGTCGTCGACGTGGAGGCCGCAATGTTACGACATGCGTTCGCTTCCCCTGCAGCTGCCACAGTGTTCTTCGACTTCGAGGCCGCCTTCCCGAGCGTGTCGCACGACTTCTTGCGCGACGTCCTGAAGGCTAAAGGGTGGCCCCCCTGGGTATGCACGTTCGTGGCTGGCCTTTATTGGAACAATGCGTGCAGCATTTCTCTTGGAGGTCACCGCCATAACGGTTTTACGCTGTCTTCTGGAGTGCGGCAGGGCTGTCCGCTATCGCCGCTGCTCTTCGCGGTCATTTCGGACGTCCTCATTCGGCGGGCCCTGCGCATGGCTCCGCTGATCACGCTCCGGGCATACGCGGACGACATTGCCGTCGTGCTCCCGAACGCCCTCGTCGAGGCGCGCATTCTGGAGAACATCTTCACAGAATACCGCGCTATCTCTGGCCTTCGGCTCCACCACGGGAAAACCGTCTGGGCCCCCTCACCCTGGATGACGAGGCGGCCGTCCGGAGCGAACTCCAACAGCAGGTCCGCAGTTGGAGCGATTTCTCAATCCAACAGCATGCCACCTACCTCGGCTTCTGCATGGGGCCAGGCAGGGGAGACCGCTCATGGGTGAAGGCGGTCGCCAAGTTCCAGGAGCGCGCCCTGCTGTGGCGGCGGGTCGGATGCGGCCCCTTCAACACCATCCTCGCTTATCGGATCTACATCGTCCCGGTTCTCACATTTCTTGCGCAGCTTCTGACCCCCCCCAGCAACTGGGACGACATCGAGCGCAACGTCTGCAAGCTACTCTTCCGAGGTCCTCGGTGCTGGATCTCCCCGTGCGTGCTCCGCAACCTCCGGATGCTGGGTTTCCAGGCGGAGCTCCCTAACCTGTACGACATCGCCAATGCCGCGAAGTGCCGGGTTGTCCACTGGGAGAACGCGGACCAGGGGGGCTTGGAGGTGGCGCGTCGCCACAGGGATTTGGAGCGCATTGTCTCGGACAGCTCTTGTCTGCATCGCTTAGCTCACTGGCGGGACTGGGTCGACGCCAACGTCCTCGCCAACCTGGCCCGCCCGCACGAGATGCTGCAACGGGCTGCGCGGAGCAGATCCCTCAGCGCCCCCGCGCCGCTTCGGGGGAACTCGCCGCACGAAGTTGAACGGAAGGATTGGCAGAGGACGGCCCAAGTCCATTTGGGGGGCGATGATCGGGATTTGGTTTTTCGCCAACTCCGTCGACACATGGACCACTTCCCGCTCCTCCTCCTCCCTGGGCGCCGGGTTGATCGCGCAGTTCGGCTTCTGCGTGGTCTTGCCCGGGACGTCCCTCCCAGGGTTTGGTTTGCTACGTTCCGCGCGCTCTGCAACGGATGGGTTACGAGAAGTCGATTTGGCGAAGATGGCCCTTGCATTTTCGGATGTGGCCACCATCAGGATTCCCTGCAACATTACGCGGCGTGTCTGGTAGTAATGGATTTTGCCAGACGGAAGCTCGGCCTCCCGCGTGCTCCGGTCGCTGATCGCCTCGACGCCTTCCTGGCGCTCCATGTTCTGCACGACCCGCACGCGGCCGCCGAGCTCTCCAAGCGAGCTTTGCTGCTCTACGCTGCTCATTCGGCCAGTTGCGCCAAAGGCCACGGAGGCACCAGCAGCGCAGCAGAGGCGCTCGCGCAATTCGCGCGCGAGGCGGCCGCCGGACACGCTCGACTACAACGAGCGCTGGCTGACACATGGGTCCGGTAGCGGGCGGTTCGCACTTCAGCGTCGCATTGTGCATGGGTGTCTTCTCTCGGCGAGGTGGGCCACTCCCTGTTCGTGCGGCTGTGGGCCAATGACTGGTTGCGCCACCTGTACTCCACCGATGTCAATGGCTGCTTCGGCAACGGGTGGATCGGCGACCTCAGTATGTTTGCGTTCGTGCCCAGCTGGGCCCTCGTTCACCTCTTCGTGTACGTGGTCAACTGGGCCTTCTTTCCTTGAGGCACCCGCCGCGCGCGTTCACAAATTGTTTGCCCCCCGTCATCCTCCTCCCTTCCTCTCCTCCTCCGCCTCCTTCTTGTCTCCCGTCCCGGGCCACTCTCAGGAAATCCAGTGGTACATAGCTTTTGCTGTCGCAGTGCCGTTTTGTGGAGCCGGCCAAAAATTTTGGCGAGGGGGGGCACGATTTGTCCGCCCACCTCCGTGGCAGTGGCCTCCGGGCACACACGGGGCAGCCTGACCACCGGGGCACTTGAGGCCGGCAAGGCCCAGGACGCTCGGCAGGAGCGCACTTTCGCCCTCGTCCCCTTCCCGCTCCCTCCTCTCTAGGTGTTCCTGCCGATCCGGCCGTGGGCTGCTACTGGATGTCACGATGAGGCCGCGCACCGAGTCCGTGACAGGAGATTCGCCGTGCGGAGGCCCAGTCGGCTCCGTCCCGGCCGCGTGGCCGATAGTTTGCGTGCGAGGTTGTTCCCCTCCCTCCGCCTTGCTGTCCTCCCTCCTCTTCTGTCGTCGTTGGTCGTGTCCTCTCGCCTTTTCCTCCTCTGTGGATGTGGCCGCTTTTTTTTGTTATTCCCCCAGCTTGGGCTGGGCAGCCATAAGGGCTGCAAGTGGAGCACTCTTTGACCTAATATGTTACAGCGCGTTTGTGCCTGGCCGCCGTCTGTGACAGCGGATGACTTGCACGGATGTTATGTGATGCATAACTCCTCGCCGGCAATGCGGCTTATATATAACCATGAGTTTTGCTATATTCCAGCGTACGCCTTCGCGCCTCCCCCCTCCTCTCCTGCTCGTCCTCCTCTTCCCCGCCCGGTTTCACCGATACGAAATGGGGTGTATTCGTATCGTTCCCGCTCGCATGGTGGTTTTATGCTCTAGTTTCTGTGCTCTCCCTCCGTCTCCCCCTCACTTGGCTGTGCACGGTGCGCGATCGTCCGTGTCCATGCCCGGTGCCCTGGATTGCGCCGTGTTTCAATTCCCCGCGATACTTCGCGATTTCTACTTTCAGTTTTGCGCCTGCCGCCGCACGGTGACCATTCATATACGCCATCGCTCGCTGGACTGCTCACCTACGTGGCTGGACGCATCATTTGCACGGCGATTGAGGTAGCTCACTGGCGTCGCCGAGTGTGTCATCGTGCTGATGTGTCCGCTCCCCCTCCTCCCCTCAAAAAAAAAAACAAAAAAAAAGATGACGATGATGACAATGTATGAGAATGAGGATGAGGGTGATGATGATGACGATGACGTTGACGATGCCGAGGACGATGGTGGATGAGGATGAGAATGAGGGTGATGATGATGATGATGATGAGGATGATGAGGATGATGGTGCTGATGGTGCTGATGGTGCTGATGATGACGATGATGACGATGATGATGATGATGATGATGATGATGATGATGAAACATGACGATGATGATGATGATGATGATGATGATGACGATGGCGACGGCGACGGCGATGACGATAATGATGATGGGGATGAGGATGAGGATCAGGATGACGATGATGACGATGACGGTGATGACGATGAAGATGATGATGATGAGGATGAAGATGAGGATGAGGATAATGATGATGCTGATGCTGATGGTGCTGATGATGCTGATGGTGCTGATCATGATTATGGCGATGATGATGACGATGATGAGGATTACGTTGACGAGGACGATTACGATGAGGCTGACGATGACGATAATGATTATGATGCTGATGATGATGCTCATGATGATGACGATGACGATGATGATGCTGATGATGATGATGATGATGATGATGGATGGGGATGAGGATGAGGATGATGACGATGACGATGATGATGGATGAGGATGAAAATGAGGATGAGGATGAGGATGATGATCAGGATGAGAATGAGGATGACGATGATGATGCTGATGGTGCTGATGATGCTGATGGTGCTGATGATGATGATGACGACGGTGATGATGCTGATGACGGTGATGATGCTGATGACGATGATGATGATGATGATGATGATGGCGATGACAATAATGATGGTGATGATGATGGTGATGATGATGTTTTGATGATGATGATGATGATGATGATGATGATGGTCATGATGACGACGATGGCGATGATGATGATGCTGATGACCATGACGTACACGATGACGATGGTGATGATTGATGGGGATGGTGATGAGGATGAGGATGTGGACGACGTTGGCGATGGCGGTGATGATGATGATGGATGGGGATGAGGATGCTGATGATCATGATGATGATGACGATGACGATGACGATGGCGATGATGGCGATGATGATGGTGATGATGATGAGGGCGATGGCGTTGACGATGACGATGATGGTGATGGAAGACGATGAGGATGAGGATGATGATGATGATGATGATGACCATGACGATAATCATGATGGCGATGATACCGATGACGTTGACGATGGCGATAATGTTGATGAGGACGAGGATGAGGACGAGGATGAGGACGAGGATGAGGATGATGATGATGATGCTGATGGTGCTGATGATGCTGATGGTGTTGATGATAACGCTGATGATGATGATGGTGATGACGATGATGATGATGATGATGACGATGATGATGATGACGATGATGATGACGACGATGACGACGACGTTGACGATGACGATGATCATCATGGATGAGGATGAGGGTGATGATGATGATATTGATGATGACGATGATGATGGTGTTGATAGATGAGGTTGAGGGTGAGGGTAAGAATAGTAATAGGGATGATGATGAGGATGATGATGAGGATGATGATGATGGACGACGGGTGAGGATAAGGCTGATGATGGTGCAAATGACGATGGCGTTGACGATGACGATGATAATGATGGACGAGGATGGGGATGAGGATGAGGATGAGGATGAGGATGATCATGATGATGATGATGATGATGATGATGATGTTGATGGTGATTGTAATGGTGCTGATAGTGGTGATGACGACGATGATGACGATGACGATGCTGCTGCTGCTGATGATGATGATTATGATGATGATGATACTGATGATGATACTGATGCTGATGATGATGCTGATGCTGATGATTGATGATGATGATGCTGATGATGATGATGATGACGACGACGACGATGATGGTGATGATGATGCTGATGATAATGATATTGATGATGATGATGATGATGATGATGAAGATGATGATGATGATGATGATGATGATGATGATGATGATGATGATGATGATGATGATGATGATGATGATGATGATGGTGATGATGGTGGTGATGGTGATGGTGATGGTGATGGTGATGGTGATGGTGATGGTGATGCTGTTGCTGATGCTGATGCTGATGCTGCTGATGCTGATGCTGCTGATGCTGATGATGAGGAGGAGGAGGAAGAGGAGGAGGAGGAGGAGGAGGAAGAGGAGGAGGAGGAGGTGGAGGCCCCCAGGGCTCCAAGACGGCCCGAGAAGGCTCCCACCAGGTTCCACAAGGCTCCCACATGGCCTCTGAGAGGGCCACGAGGACGCACAAGTCTGCATATTCTCCAGGTCTGTCCGCACTTCCCCTGTACGATCGCTGTCTCTGGCCACAGGCGCCCAACCCGCCCCGTGAAGCCTCCCAAGTCGTCTCAAGGGCGCCCAGGGAGCTCCCAAGAGAGAGCCCAAAAAGAAGAAGAATAATAAGAAGAAGAATAATGATAAGAAGAACAATAATAATAATAATAATAATAAGAAGAAGAAGAAGAAGAAGACGAAGAAGGCCCTGGAAACCCTCAAGTCGGCCGGGACTCCCAAGACGGCCGAACAGCTCCCCAAAGACGGCCCCAAGCGAGGTCAGGGCCAACTCTGGAACGCTCCATCCCCCCCCCCGAACCCCCAGTGCCCGCGAGCCCGCAAGAAGCTCCCTAGAGGCTCCCAGACGGCCTCCAACTTCCTCGAAACAGCTCGGACATGCTCTTGAAACTACTGCACAGGCTCCCGAAAGGCCTCCAGCAGTTCCCCCCCAACAGCTCCGATTGGTTCCTAGAAATCACCAGATGATTGGAACAAAAATCACCCCCACACCTCCACACCTCTTGAGCCACCTCTCGCGCGGGACGGGTTGCAGAAAATAGTTTCCCAATGCAGCCGCGGCCACCCGAGAACGCTGTTTTCGCAACCCCTCCCGCGATGAGCGTGTCCCAAGAGGTGTGGGGTGCGGTTGTTTCCGATCGTCTTGGGCCTTCTTTTTTTCCTCCCCGTCGTCATTCTCCTCCGCCATAGGAGCTCCGACAAACCCTGGATATTCTCGAGGTTTTCCCGTGCTTCCGCTTACGACCGCTTCCCCGACCAAAAGGCGCCCAACCCGCCCCCCCGATAAGCCTCCCGCGTCGTCCCGAAGGCGCTCAGGGAGCTCCCCGGAGAGAGCCCCTACCAGGCCCCAGGAGGCCCTCAAGTCGGCCGCGGGGACTCCCAAGACGGCCGAGCAGCTCCTCAAATCGGCCCCAAGAGAGGCCCAACAGGGCCAACTCTGGAGCGCTCCCCAGCCGCATCCCGCCCCCCCCCCCCCCCCCCCGCACACTGCCGGCAAGCCCCCCCTCCAGAAACAGCAACCAGAGGCTGTCGGACGGCCTCCGGGGCGCCCCCTCCCAAGCCACGCTCCGCTGGTGCAAGCACTGCGCGGGCTGGAAGCCTGCTGGGCCCGCTGAAGGAGGCTTTCGTGAGCTCCAGCCAGGGTCCCAGAGACCACGGGTCCCCTGCGCGAGCAGCCAGCTGTGGACGTCTCCAGCCTCGACCTCCAGGAGCTGGGGGTGATGGCTACCACCGCGGGAAAGTGTGGCCAGCGCAAGCGTGTGCTGGCCGGCCAGGCCAGGATCAAGCAGCCCAGCAAATCTCCACCGCCGCCGAGTCGGTTGGCTGCAGCAAGGAGGGCCCTTAATGACCAACACGGCAGGCTCCACAAAGCAATGGATAAATACCTAATGGCCCTCGGCCCTGCCACCGTACCTGGGTTGTGGGTCGCAGTTCTCGGGGATGATTCTGCGGGTCTCTTCGGAGCGCTCTCGGGGGCCTCTTGAGAGCAGTTTGGGTGCCTCTTGGGAGCCTCTTAGGGGCCTCTCGGAGCCTCTTGGGGGCTCTTGGGGGCCTATTGAGGCCTCCTGGTCCCCCGGGGCCGAGGGCTCGAAGTGTCCGCTCGGTTTCCCCATCTGGGCCCTTTTGGGCCGTCTTTGACGTCTCTTGGGCAGTCTTGGGGCCCTCTTGGGCCGTCTTGTGGCCCTCTGGGGGGCCTCTGGGGCCGTCTTGGGGCGATCTTAGGGGCCTCGTGGGCCGTCGTGGAGCGTCGGGAAGCCGAAAAGGCGAGAACGCCCTTCAAGCACCTAAGGCAAATCCATGATTTGCGCCTCTTGGGGCCCTCGCTGGAGGCCTCTCGGAGCGGTCTCGGTGGCAACTTGGGCGCCTTGGGCTGTATCTTGGAGGCGTCTGCGTGTCGGGACTCTCGTGGCTCGTCTTGAGGGCCTCTCGAGGCCCGCTTGGCCCGTCCTGAGGCCCTCCTGCCTTGAAGAGGTCACGCGACGAGCCGCGACGGGGCCCCGTCAGCGAGCGAAGAGCGGTATAAAAAAAGCTTGTTTGCCGTCGGGGACACCTGCCCCTGGGCGGCTGGAAAGTTTGTACCCCTACGGTGCCACCCTAAGGGTAGAAACTTTCCAGCCGCCCTGGGGCAGGTGTCCCCGACGGCGAAAAAGTTTAGTTTATACCGTTATTCGCCCGTTAACCCAGGGAGCACGCGGGACCCCCCAGGAGAATTCGCAGCGTGGGCTCTGGACCCTTTTAAGAACTCTACAGGAGACGAAGGGCCTGAGGGCATGCCCACTCCGTGCCCAGAGACGCAGAGGCGGATCGCAAGTGGCAGAAGGACCTTCAGCAGCAGTGGGAGCATATTGAAACGGATATTCGAACGGTCAAGCAGGACGAGTTCCAGGGCAGCTGCGACAAGATTGCGCTGTCGGTCGCATCCTCCGCCGCAAGCCCGAGAGCCACATTTTGACAAGAAGCCGCCCTCTATCCGTGAAATCCTTTGCAAACTGGTAGGACGAATGCGCGCAGCGCTAAGGCGAGAGCCACATGTTGAAAAGGAACCGCCCTCCATCCGTGACGTCGTTTTGCCGCAAACGTTTAAGACGAGTGTGCGCGGCGCGAAGGCGAGACAACATTTTGAAAACGGCCCGTCCTCCATCTGTGAAGCCCGTCTGCAAACTTTCAAGACGAATGTGCGCGGCGCCGAGGCGAGAGCCACATTTTGCAAAGGAACCGCCCTTCATCCGTGAAAATCCTGTCATTTACCCAGTAGGCTTGCCTAAGGGGTTCTTACCTGGTTAAAGATTGGTGTCTCCGGGTGCTACGTTGCCCGTTCTCGGAAGTTTCCCGGGTTCCTCAAGGTCCCCGGGTTCCTCGCCCTCGGTACCTCGGGGGATTATTTTGACATTGCTCGGAGGTCTCCGGATTCCTCGGGTTCCCCAGGTTCCTCGCCGTCGGTGCTTCCGATTCTTACATTGCCCGTTCCTCGGAGATTCCCTGGGTTCCTCAGGTTCCCCGGGTTCCTCGCCCCCGGTGCTTCGTATTGTGACCTTGCCCGTTCTTCGGAGGTTTCTCGGTTCCCGGGGTTCCTAAGGGGTTCTTACTTGTTTAAAGGTTGGTGCTTCGGGGGGCCACCACCCGTTGCTCGGAGGTTCCTCGGGTTCCTCGGGTTCCCTGGGTTCCTCGGGTTCCCCAGGTTCCTCGGGTTCCTCGGGTTCCCCGAGTTCCTAAGGGTTCCTTGGATTCTTCGGGTTTCTCGTCGGAATGTTACTTTGCCCGTTCCTCGGAGGTTCCTCGGGTTCTCGGGTTCCCCAGGTTCTCCAGGTTCCTCGGGTTCCTTGGGTTCCTCGGGTTCCCCAGGTTCCTCGCGTTCCTTGGGTTCTTTGGGTTCCCCGGAGTTCCTAGGGTTCCCCCAGGTTCCTTGGCAATGCCAGGCAGTGCCGAGCAACGCCGAGCAATGCCAACCCATGCAAAGCAATGCCAAGCAATATCAAGCAGTGCCAACCCATGCCAAGCAATGCCAAGCGATGCGCCCAGCGATGCGCCCATGCAATAGGCAATAGGCTTTCCCTTAATTGGGGCCGCGCTGGGTTTATTTTTGAGCTTCAGTATCACACATGATGATGACATCTCAGGCGAAACGCACGGCCCGACCTACCAACACGTCTCGGGGTGCGACAGGGATGAGTTAGTTATGCGGAAGATGGATGGAGGTGGAGCAGCTGCTGTTGCTGCTGCCCATGCCCCTGGATCTTCTGCCGCTGATACTGCTGGCACTGCTCTAGACGCCGTCAGAGTATTCCAGTAAACAGCGCACCCTGAAGCAATGAGTCTAGGCCTCCTAGATGGGATCCGAGTAGATGGGGTCGGAGGATCGCGCCGCATCGCCGATGCATCGCCGATGCGGCGCGATGCGGAGCCCGATGTTGTCCACGCCGGCGTCGCCGATACATCGCCGACGTATCCGATGCATCTTCGATGCATCGCCGATGCATCGCCGGTGTATCGGCGATGCGGCGCGATCTTCCGACCCCATCTATTCCGACTCTATCTAGGAGGCCTCTAATGAGCAGCAGCAAGCGAACTTTGACGACTGGCATTCGTGGACGGTAGTCCACAGATCAACACGCTCAGCTACAACGCTGGGATCAGCGCGTGCGAAAAAGGCGAACAGTGGCAATGGGCCTTGGCGCTGCTCAGCGAGATGCGGGAGGCGAAGCTGGAGCCCAATGTCATCAGCTACAATGCTGGGGTCAGTGCGTGCGAGAAGGGCGTTCAGTGGCAGTGGGCCTTGGCACTGCTCAGCACGATGTGGGAGGTGGAGCTCGAGCCCGATGTCATCAGCTGCAACGCTGGGATCAGCGCGTGCGAGAAGGGCGAGCAGTGGCAGCGGGCCCTGGTGCTCCTCAGCGAGGTGCGGGAGGCGAAGCTGGAGCCCAACGTCATCTGTACTACAAGTCTGGTCGCTGCGCGTCCGAAAGGGGCGAGAAAGCGTCGAGAGGCCCCCGAGCGCCCCGAGCGCCCCGCCGCTCTCGGACGGCTCCAGACAGCCCCCAGGTGGCTCCAAGACGGCCTCGGGCAGCCCCACTGCCGCCCTGAGACGCTCGGGACGGCGGGAGGACGGCCCATGAGAACCCGAACAAAGCCTTGGCATCGCTCGGACGTGTGCATTTTTTCCTTCGGCGAGGACCATCGAGGAGCATCCTTGATCATTTGGCGAAAAGCCACGCACGAGACCGAAAAAAGCACAGGGAGTGGACGTCCGAGCGATGCCCAGAAGCCCCCTGACGGCCCGACGACGGCCCGACGACGGGCCACGCGCCTCCGAAAGCGGCCCCACCGGACCACCACGTCGGTCACCTGAGGCCCAAATCAGGATTTCCCCGAGGGTTTCAGGAGGTTTCCCGCGTTCTCGCCACTTCGGGCCACGGGCGGCTCCAGACGGCTGCAGGGCCACCCCCGATCGCCCCAAGACGGCCCGGGAGGCCCCCCGAGGTGCCCCAAGGCGGCCTCGGAGGGCCCGAAGGCCCAAGAGAAGCCTGATACAGCCTCGTGCAGCTCCTGGTGGCCCCCAAGATAGCCCCAAGAGGGCCCCAGGAGCTGCCCAACATCAAAGGCAGAAAAAACGCTCCTACCCTGGTTTACGAGGCGCTGTGCGCTGAAACTCCTGTGGGCTGACAGGGCAAACCCTGCGTGATGTGCCGCGTCCTGGCGGCTCTAGGCTTCGGGGGTTCCCAGGAGGTTTACAGACCACGCACTTGTAACCCAGGGTAGGGCCGTTTTTTCATCCCTCAACAACAGACACCACGGCGAGCTCCAAGACGGCCCTAGACCCCCACCATGGCCCTAGGACGACCCAAGAGGCCCCCGGGATGGCCCAAGAGGGCCCGGGAGGAACCCGACGACGGCCTCACGCGGCGAAACAACGAACTGAAACCATGCATTTCCCAAGGTTTTCCACGTTCGCCCCATCCCGACGACGGCCTCACGAGGCGAAACAACGAACTAAAACCATGCATTTCCCAAGGTTTTCCACGTTCTCCCCACGACGGGCCCAGAACGGCCCCACGAGCCCACCAAGGCAGCCAACGAGGGCCCCAAGACGGGCCAGAACAGGCCCCGTTGAGCCTTACGGAGCTTCGCGCATGCCCCCCGAGACGCCCCAGGAGCTGCCCAGGAGGGCCCAAATAAGATTCCCAGACGGCCCCAGACCACCATCATGGCCCGAAGATGGCCCAAGGGGCCTCCGGTAGCTACGGCCCAAGAGGGCCCACGAGGACTCCGAAGACGGACCCAGGAGACCAGAAATCAAACAACAACCGTGTGTTTCCAACGTTTCCCACATGGCCATGACGGGCTCAGAAGGGCCTCACGCAGCTTCATGCAGTCTCGCGATCGCCCCACGATGGCCCAAAAGGCTTCAACGAGCGCACCCAGACGGCCCAAGAGGGCTCCCCAAGACAAGCCCCCGACAGCCGCCTACTGGAGTTTCAGGTGCCTCCCCAAGACGCACCAGGAGCTGCCCAGGAGGGCCCACATTGGGCTCCCAGACGGCTTCCCCCAGGGGGCCCCCGACGGATGCTACAAAAGGGGGGTCCGTTGTAGCATCCGTCGGAGGCTCTCCGTCCTCTGGGCCTCCTCTGGCCGTCCTGGATCCTGGTGGGGACGTCCGCGGGCACGGACGGCCCTTTTCTGAGAGGCCCGGACCACCTCCGAGATGGCGCAGACCTCCCCAGGATGTCTGAAGACAGCCTCCAGCCCCGGCTCCCCGAGCCTGCAGCAAAGCATGCAGCTAGCCTTGGATGACAGGGGGGTCCTTTTTTACAGCAACCCCACAGCACGCATAGTAAGTTTCAATCAGTTTCATTGACTGTCTCCGAGACAAGGCTCTGGGTGACAGCCCAGGGACGGTCCCAGAGGCACCCAAAAACCACGAAGAGGCCTTCAAGACGCCCCCCACACAGGCTCGCAGGAGGGCCCGGCATGCCCCCCGACACTGCCCAAGGGACGCCACGAGCCGTTCAACCTCGGCGAGCTGTTCACCCACGGTTGCGCAAGTCGCAGGTTCAGCACACCGTGGATTTGATCTTCATCGCAGGCCTAGAGGTTGACACCAACACCAATTTCGGCGGTGTGCCTCCAACGAGGGAAGAAGATCCCGATCTGATCTCGGTGATGGTGGTAATATTTTGGCTTCCAAGGTGGCCGAAATATTTCCACCATCACCGAGATCCAGGATCATCTTCCCCCTGTGAAGGCAACCCCCTGTGTTGGTGTTGGTGCCCATTTCCAGGCCTCCAACTTCAGGTTTACACTAGTCAGCTACAACGCGGGGATCAGCGCGTGCGAAAAGGGCGCTCAATGGCGGTGGGCTCTGGCGCTGCTCAGCGAGATGCGGGAGGCGAAGCTGGAGCCCAATGTCATCAGCAGCAAGGGCTGGGATTAGCGCGGTCTGCCCGTCCTTTGGGCGCTCGCCCTCTGGACTCCGTGGCTTCGAGTCGCGAAGCGCAGCTACTGCCCCCCACTCTGGGCGCCACGGGGGACAGGGCACAGATGAACTAACGCGGCCCTGGAGGCCATACTTCTATCCATGGCCCCGGTCAGGCTCCTCGTGGGGCCGGAGCGCGAGCAAGGGCATGAATAACAAGCCGATCGCTTACACCCCGCGGTGCTCTTCCGCTTGTCGACGCGAGCGCGCCGCCTGTCAGCGTCGACGCATTGCCTGGCGAAGACGCGTCCCTGCCACGGGGCGTGTCTTTCGAGCCGCCCCATCCACCGTCGCAGCCCCTGCTGCGGCCAGGGCCTTGCCCAGGCCGCCGCCACGACTGTGAAATCTTCTGCCTGTGCTGCACGACCGCTGCGAAGCTGTCGAAGGCCCCCTCGTCCATCTCGTCGATCTTCTCGATGGTCGCCTCCTCCTAAGGTAGTTGACGAACTCTGCGGCAGTCCTCGAGTCACTTGCACTCGTGGCTTATCCACCCCGCTCGTAGTCGTAGATCTCGTCACTACCCTCTGCATTCCGTCCAGGCCGTCTTTCCAGGCACGACCACGGGGTGAATGGCGATGAGGTTCAGCTTCGTGCCGCTTGTCGGACTTGTGTGTTTGCTTTTTGTTTGTTTGTTTGTTTGTTTGTTTGTTTGTTTGTGTGTGTGTGTGTTCTCTCTCTCTCTCTCTCTGCGTAGGTCTATCCTGCCTTTCTTCACTCGTATAGATAAGTGTCAGTATGAATTATAGGTGCATGTGTATATATATATATATGTATATATATATATGTGTATATATATATATATATATGTGTATGTGTATATATGAATGTACGTGTGTAGGTAGACCTGTATGCATGTGCGTATGCTTCTCGATGTCTCTGCCTCTGTGTGTCTGTCTCTCTCTCTCTCTGTCATTTCTCTCTCTCTCTCTCATTTCTCTCTCGCTCTCTCTCTCTCTCTCATGGATGTCGGGATTCTGCAGCCGCAGGGTCTCGCCATAGGCCTCCCTGTCGCACTTGCTGACCGTGCTGCTAATGATTCTGGCATGCGCTTCCATCTCGAGTCCAGCAAGTTCGAGCAGCAGGTGTGCTCGCAGGCAATTCGAGATGTTCGCCTCCCCTCTCACCTTCTTGAGCTCGTCGATGACCATCGTGCGCCTCGTGATGTACGGCTGCATGCTCTCACCAGGGATACGCCACGCGTCCTGGTCGTACAGGGCTCCGTCGAACAGCTCCGCCGTGAGGGTTGGCCTTCCCGTCAGCACGAATTTGCCGAGCGACGTCAGTAGAAGCTCCAAGCTCTCGGTGGTCGCCTTCTTCTTTTTCTTCGTCTTCGTTTTCTGATCCGGATTCTTATTATTATTACTTTTATGCTTAGTATTCCTTCTTCTTCTTCGTCACTGAACTGCCGCCGCCCTCGCCGCCAGCCTCGGTCGTCGCTTCCCACAGAGTTCCGCGTTCTGGGCTCCCTCTTCCGAGGACTGCTTCAGAACGGTTCCACGCAGCTTCGGACCGCCCAGCAGAGTGCGCCAGGATGGCCCCAGAGGGCCTGGCTGGCCCCGATGCGGCCCAAGACGGCCTCAACATGGCCAAAGAAACCCATCACGGCCTCGGTACCCAGCAGTACGGTAGAGGGAAACAATTACTGAGCACTCCCCTTCCCCCCCAATCTCATTGTTGGCACGCGCGGGGGAGATTGCGGTCGAAGTGCATCTCATCAGACCCACCGCCATCTTTGAACATTGGGGGGAGGGGGAGGCGTTGACGGATGAATGTGGCATGTGTTCGCTAATTTGTTCCGAGGCCTGTATCAAAGCCAGCACCATCGAGGAGCAGCTCGCGGCAGCGGCAAGGCGAAGCGGGCAGGCAGGAGCGGCAAGCAGCAGCAGCAGCAGGCAGCCTTGGCACCCAGGCCCCCGCAAGCATCATCAGCAGCGCGCACCAGCAAACCCCAGCGCGCACCAGCAGAGAGCAGCACCGAGTATCAGCTAGACCCTCTCGTCGAGCAGCAGCGCGCGGACAGGCATGCAGCGAAGCAGCCGGCAGGACGAGAAGTCAGGCCAAGGATTGCAAGGATTGCAAAAAAAACCCTTCGTCCAAGGGTTTTTTTTTGCAGTCCTTCGTCCAAGGGTTTTTTTGCAATCCTTCGTTTTTTTGCAATCCTTCGAGCACGCAAGCAGGGATGTGTTCTTTGAGGCCAACAGGCAAGCAGCCACGAAAGCAGGCCGGCAGGCCAGCAGGCAAGCGATCATCACCCCCGCGTGCGAGTGCGTAAGTGTTCGGTGGATGCCAGTCCACGGGTCAGCAATAGTCATGGTCAGCTACAGCGCCGGGATAAGCGCGTGCGAGAAGAGCGGGCAGTGGCAACGTGCTTTGTCGCTGCTGAGCGAGATGTGGAAAACGAAGGTGGACCCGAACGTCGTGTTCACTACATGTCAGGTCCCCGCGCGTGCAGGCAAGGTCCTGCAGCGAGCGGGGCAACGTCGGCCTGGCAGGCACCAGCTCGCTCCCGTGCACATCTGGGGTGCTCCAAGACGGCCCAAGAGGGCCCCAAGAGAGCCGAGCCCAAGTAGGCTCTGAGACGGCCCCAGAGAGCTCCGATAACGTTCCAGGGTGGCCCAAGATTGCCTTCCGACGGCCCCGAGGGGCCCCCAGCGCGCCTCAAGACGGCTCAAAGGGGAATTCCCGGGAGAGCCCCCAGCACCCGAAACATAAACATTCTCTTGTGTGTTCTGGAACATCTTCATCTATTCGCTGTTCCAGGCCCCACATCGCCCACGAGGATCCCAGAGGCTCCCCAACATCGCCCCGTGAGAGCCCAAGAGGCCCCCAAGAGGGCCCTGAGACTGCCCAACAGGGCTCGAAGACGCCCCTGACAGGCTCCAAGACGGCCAAAGAGGCCGCCAAGTTAGCCCCAAGACGGGCCCAAGGCGGCCCAGGAACGTACGGGACCAGAATAGCCGCCCCAGCCCCCCCCCCCCCAGACTCCCCCAAAACAGCTCCCAGTGGCCCCAAGGGCCGTTCAGATGGCTCCAGGAGGCATGGGAGGGCCCCCCCCGGAGCCCAAGAAGCTCCACAGGAGGCGCCAAGAAGGCTCCACGAGACCCCCAAGAGGCCCCCGAGAGACATCACGAGAGGCTTCCCCTCGCGAGGCCCCGAGGGACTTTCAAGAGGTCCAGCCCCTCGCCCGCCACAACACTCGGCTCTCCATCCTTCCGTATCGTCCCTCTCTCATTACTCTCTTGTCGCTCTTAGCTGATCGCTCCTCGCTTCTCCCCCCCTTCCTCCTCGGTCTCCTCCATCCTGAGTTCTCGATCCTCTCCGCGCAGCAGGTTGCGTCAGCAAGTTGAAGTAGCGAGAAGCAGCATCTTGCAGGATCAAGCAGCAGCAGCAGCAGCAGCGCACGGCAGTAGCACGCACGAAGCAGGCAGCAGCAGCGGCAGCACACAGCAGCACCAAGCAGAACTGGTCATCAGCAGCACCCTGGAGCCACAAGCAGCAACAGCACGCAACACCGACAAGAACTACCAGGACGCAACAGCGGCAGCAAGCAGCAGCACGCAGTAGCATGCGCGGAATGCGAAGGTCGGGCTCTTCTCACCAGCCCGCGCAGCCCGCGCGCATCCTCCGACCTCTTGGGGCGGCCAGAGTTGCATTGTAACATCGTTAGAAAAGAAGGCCCACACTGTTGCTTCTGAGCTTCCAGCCTTGGCCCCAGTACAGCCTCAAGGTGGCTCAAGATCATCCTGGGCGGCCCAAAAAGGCCCCATTACCCGACGGCAGCAGCACGAAACACGAAGCAAGCACCAATAGCGTCAGCGCATAGCAACAGCACACAGCAGCAGCAGCAGCAGCAGCAGCAGCAGCAGCAGCAGCAAGTAGCGGTGAACAGGACGCACCAAGCAGACGTGGCCACCAGCAGAACTCTTCAGCCACAAGCAACAACGACACGCAGCAGCGGCAAGCATTACCAACAGCATGCAACAGTGGCAGCAAGCAACACCACACAGAGGCATGCGCCGAACGTGAGGGTCGAGCCCCATTTTGTAATGACACCCCCAGAGGCCCCCGCACGCTTCGCCCCGCAAGTAGACGTAGTCCACGGGTCAGCTTTAGTCAGCTACAATGCAGGGATCGGCGCGTGCGCGAAGGGCAGGCAGTGGCAGCCAGCGTTAGCGCTGATCAGCGAGATGTGGGAGGCGAACCTGGAGCACGACGTCATCAGCTACGTCGTGGGGATCAGTGTGTGCGAACGTACGGGGACAAACTATTCGAACCACCACACACATATGAGAGGTATGTTCATGATCCCCCCCCCCGAACACACTGTTGATTTTAGCATCGGTGATGGCCCTCAACATTCATTTGGGAGGTCTGGGTGTGGGGAGCATCGTGCGCCGCATGGTTCGAACTGATTGTCCATGCACACCAGGAGGGCGAGCAGTGGCAGCGGGCGCTGGCGCTTCTCGGTGAGATGAGGGATGCGAAGGTCGAGCCCAACGCCATCGTCTACAGCGCTGGGATCAGCGCGTGCGAGCAGGGCGAGCACCCGTTCGTGCCCCCGAGCGGGCAGTTCGAACACGCGTTTCTTCCCTGGCGGCGCCCATGAGGAACTCCGGCAGGACGCAACAGTGGAGCTGCAGCGCTGCGCCTGCTCCGCGAAGCGCCTCCACTGCACTGCGCGCGGGCGTCGGCAAGGGCCGCTTCCCTGCGGCTGCTGGCACGTGCGGGAGCAGCAGGCGGCGGCAGTGGGCGCCGTCGCTGCTCATCGACCTGCTCGGCACGAGGCTGGAGCCCGACGTGGTCTCTATCGCAATGCTCACCTTGGCGCGTTCCGTGCCGGGTCCGTCGGCGGGCGTTGACTTCCGCTTTCTGGCCTCGGATGGCCGCCTGCGGCTCCCCAGATCGCCCCCGAAGGAGCATCCAGGAGTCGCCCAAGGCGGCCCCCAAAGAGGGCCACGGGACGGTGGCCCCAAGCCTGGCATCGCTCGGACGTGTGCATTTTTTTTCTCGGCGGGGACCATCGAGGACCATCCTGGACCATTTGGCGAAAAAACCACGCGCGAAACCGAAAAAAACACAGGGAATGGACGTCCGAGCGATGGCCAGAGCAGGCCCAAGAGGCCCCCACCAGCCCAAGGCCCAAGACGGCTCTGGCCGGCCCCCAAGATGGCCCCGAGACGGCTCCAGGATGATTCGAAACGTCCCCAGAGATCCCAAGACGGCTCCCGGATTCCGAAAAGAGTCCAACGAGGCCTCTGCCGGGATCAGCGCGCACTTGCAGGGAACTCAGTGGCAACGCCCCCCCCCCTCTTCGCCAGGCTCTTCACTGTCCCAGAAGGCCTGGTGTGGCTTCAGAGGGCCCCTGGCTGGCCGAGAGAACCTCCAGGAGGCGCTCCAGACGGGCCAGAACGTCCCATGGACGCCTGAAGATTGGGCCAATGTGGCCCGAAGAGGCTGCAAGGTGGCTCTGCGCTGGGCCTCAGGAGGCGAAAGTCGTTGAATTCTTCCTGCTTCGCGTGTCCCCGCCAGCCCTTCCTCTTCCTTTGCGCTAATTTAGGCCGTTGCTAGTCTGCACCGCCCTTGACGCCGCCCTATCTTTTCCTCGCCGCGGTCGCGATCAAAACCAGTATCCCCACCAGCCGATGTAGCTTTTGACGGCGCGCGGCCCTTCCGCTTGCGCTCGCGAACACAAAAATCCCCACCAGCCCGTTCAGAAAACTCTGCCCATGAGAGCTGACGGGACAAGGGACGAAGAGACACATGTAGTGAAACAAAGCGGGCAACCAGGATGAACAGAAAGATCTCTGGGAGCAAGGGGGGGCCTTGGAGGGCCTCTTCGGGCCATCCCTGGGGCCCGCGGGGGGGGCGAGGGGAAAAGGAGGAGGAGGAGGAGCAGGAGGAGGAGGAGGAGGAGCAGGAGGAGGAGGAGGAGGAGAAGGAGGAGAAGGAGGAGGAGGAGGAGGAAGAGGCAAACCGCCTCTCGGGGCCTTCGTGGGACGCTCTAGGGGCCGTCTTCGGGCCCTGTCGGGGCCCTCTTGGGGCTCTCTTGGGGCTCTCCTGGGAGCCCCAGGGGGCCTCCTGGGGCCATCTTGGAGGCTACCGATCCACGGGGGGGGGCTCCCCTCTTGGGGCCTCCCTTGGGGCGCTCCTGGGGGGCCGGCTGGAGAAGCGGGGGCCGCCTGGAGAGGCGAGGGCGAGGGCGAGGCTCCCACAGACGGCCTCCGGGACACCACTCCCGCGAGGCTCCAGGAGAGCTCCCCGCAGTTCCTCGGAAGCGGCTCTGACATGCGAGGAGGAGGAGGAGGAGGAGGAGGAGGAGGAGGAGGAGGAGGAGGAGGAGGAGCCAAGCACGAGGGAGAACAGGAGGAGCCAAGCACGAGGGAGAAGAGGAGAGGAGAAGCGAGGAGGAGGAGAGAGAGGAGAAGTAGGAGGCTAGGAGAGACGAAGAGGGGAGAGGAGGAGGAGGAGGAGGAGGAGGTGGAGCTGCCTGCTGTTGCTTACGGCAACATCTGACCACTAGCATCGTGACCGTCGCCACGCGCCAAGCCCAGTCTTCTCTACAATGCAGGACCCGTGCGTGCGGGAAGTGTCCCTGTCTTGATGGGCGTAAAATGCCCCACAACGGCTCCGGGGACGCCCCAGAGGCGCTCACGCGGCCCCAGAGGCGCCCAGGACGGCCCCAGACACCCCCAAAACGGCCCAAGAGCGCTCCAAGACAGTTCAAGACCGCCGAAAACGGCCCCGACAAGGCCCAGAGGCCCCCACGACGGCCCCAGAGACGCCCAAGAGGCGTCCCAGGATGGCCCCCGCAGGCCCAAATCATTGTTTTTCCGGAAAAAAAAGCGTCCGATTTTAGCATACTTTGCTTGTCGGGAATATGGCGCACAAGACGGGACAAGAGGTCCCCACGACCGCCCCAAGACGGCCCAAGAGGCCCCCCAGAGGCACGAAAACCGGCCCGAGAGAGCGTCAAGAGACCCAAGAGGCGCCCAACACGGCCCCAAGAGGCTCCCAGGAGGCGCCCAGGACGGCCCCACACACCCCCAAGACGGCCCAAGAGCGCTCCAAGAGAGCCCAAGACCGCCGAAAACGAACCCAAGAAGGCCCAGGAGGCCTCCACGACGCCCCCAGAGACGCCCAAGAGGCGTCCAAGGATGGCCCCCAGAGGCGAAAATCATTGTTTTCCCGAAGAAAAAGCTCACTTTTAGCATGCGCTGCTTGTCGGGAATATGGCGCAGAAGCTATTTCCAGGTCCCCACGACCGCCCCAAGGCGGCCCAAGAGGCCCCCAAGACGCACGAAAACCGGCCCGAGAGGGCGTCAAGAGAGCCCAAGAGGCGCCCAAAACAGCCCCAGGGCGACACCAAGATGCTCCCAGGACGGCCCAAGGTATCCCCAAGACGCTCCAAGAGCGCTCCACGACAAGCCAAGACTGCCTCTTGCGGCGCCAAGACGGCCCCAGACGCCTCTACGACGGACCAAGAGACGCCGAAGAGGATTCCCAGGAGGGCCCCAGGAGGCCACAATTATCGCTTTCCCGAGGGGCCCAAGAGGCCAAAATCGTCCCATTCCTGACGGGAAACGCACATTTTCACTGTATCTTGTTTCTTCGTCCTCGCAGCGTCCAAGACGGCTGTACAGGCCCCCCAGCTCCTCCCAAGACCAGCGGCCCCCAGGAGGGCCCCCAAACAGCCCCACACGGCCCCCGGACGGCTCCAGAGGCGCCCGAGACGGCCCAAGACGCATCCAAGACAGCCCCAAGAGCAGTCACTAATGGCCCACGGGACGGCTCCGAGAGGCTCCAGGGGGCGCCAAGACGGCCTCAGGGCACCCCTGGGAGCCGCAAGACAGCCCCAGAGGCCCCCAAGGCAGGCCAGGATATCCCCAAGATGGCTCAGGAGGGCCTCCAGGAGGAGCCCAAAGGCCGAAATCGTCCCATTCCCTATTGGAATCGCCCCAAGACGCGCTCAGAGGCCCTCAGGAGGACCCCCAAACGGCCACTCACGGCCCCGGGACGGCTCCAGAGGCGCCCGACAGGGCCCAAGACGCACCCAAGACAGCACCAAGAGCAGTTCATAATGGCCCATGACGGTCCCACCGCCCCGTCTCCAAGACGGTTGTACAGGCCCCCACCGCCCCGTCCCCAAGCCTTTCCATCTGCACAGTCTCCAAGACGGCTGTACAGGCCCTCAGATCGCCCAAGACGCTCCCAGACGCCCCCAGGAGGATTTCAAAACGGCCCGAGACGGCCCCGGGACGGCTCCAGAGGCGCCCGAAACGGCAAGGCAGCCCCAATAGCGCCCAATATCGGCCCAAGATGAGCCCAAGACGGCCCCAAGATGGTCCGAGAGGCGCCCGAGACGGCCCCACATCGCCACAAGACGGCCCAAGAGGCACTGAAGACGGCCCAAAAGGGCCCCGAGAGACCCCCAGGAGGCAAAAAAAAATGCCCCAAAACTGCCCCCAAGAGGCCTTGGATCCTTCTCTCCCAGCGTCGTCTTTGGGACTTCTTGGACCCTCTGTGAGCCATTTCCGCGCCTTTGGGGGACGTCTTGGGGCGGTGCGCTCGAAATGTCGATTCATGTCCTCGCACTGGGGCCCGTCTTAGGGAGTTCGTGGGGCCCTCTGGGGCCTTCTGGGAAGCCTCTTGGCCCGTCCTGGAGACCTTTTGGGCCGTCTCGCCGCCCTCTTGCGGGGCCTCTTAGGCCGCGCCCACCGGCCCCATTGTCACCACACTACCAGATAAAATTATTGCTCGGCCCCGGCAAAGAGCTGATACAATTATCACGGCCACCCTCCCCGCAGAAGCTATGATGAACACAGACTGGGGCGTGAGAAACAGCTTCTGTCCACACCATGTCATGCCTACATGGGTGCGCTTCCACTGACACCGCCTCCACCACCGCGTTCCTGCCTTCATGCCTACTTGCCTGCATCGCCCCATCTCCTCCTCCAGCGGCCACCTCCTCCATCCACGCCGTCCCCTCCACCCCCCCTTCACCTGCCAGGCCCCGGAGACGCTCCACTTCCACGTCCACGCCATGGCGGGCAGATTCCGCGGCCGGAAGGCCGCGGGTCAGCCCTAGTCTCTACTACATTGCAGGGCCCAGTGCGTGCCAGAATGGCGCAGGCCCCAATGCACCAAAACCGCCCCGGGCTGGCCCCGGGCCGCCCCGGGCCGCCCAGGCAGGCTCCAGGACATGTCGAGAGGGCCCCCAGAAGCCCCCAAGACGGCCCCGGAGAGCCCCGGCACGCTTAAAGATGGGCCCAAGACGCCCGAGAGTCGCCCCAGACGGCCGAGGCCTCCCAAGAGGCCTCCCAAGAGGGCCCCGAGCGACAGAAATCGTTGATTTCTATTGTGTTTTTCGATGTTTTCGGCCTCCTCGCCTCTTCGGCTTCCCGACGCTCCAAGACGGCCCAAGAAGTCCCCCCGACCGCTCCAAGACGGCCGAAGAGGACCCCAAGAGAGCCCCAAGACGGGCCAGGAGGGCCCCAGGACGGTCCCAAGACGCACCAGGACGGCCCCAGGACGGCCCAGGAGGCGCCCAAGACGGCCCAATAGGCACCCAAGACGGCCCCAGGAGCGGCCCAAGACGGCCCAAGACAGCCCAAGAGGCGCCGAGGCGGGCCTCAGACGGCCCCAAGACGGCCCAAGAGGCACCAAAGACGGCCCGAGAGGGCCCTAAGAGCCCCCCCGGGAGGCCCAAAAGAAGGCCGAAGAGGCTCCGAAACGGCCCCCACGAAGCCTTCAGTGGCTTCAGAATTCCCTCCAGGAGCGGGGGAGCGGACGAGAGGCGACAGGCACGCCGCGCTTGCCCAGAGACCCCTCGCCACGTCGAGCTGATGTCGTGGACGGAGTCCACAGGTCTGCCCTAGTCTCTACTACATTGCAGGGCCCAGTGCGTGCCAGAATGGTGCAGGCTCCAATGAACCAACACCGCCCCGGGCTGGCTCCGGGCCGCCCAGGGAGGCCCCAAGACACGTCCAGAGGGTCCCAAAAATCCCCCAAGACGGCCCCGGAGAGCCCCGGCACGCTTAAAGATGCGCCCAAGACGTCCGAGAGTCGCCCCAGGCGGCCCTCGAGGCGTCCAAGACGCCCGAAGAGGCCTCCCAAGAGGCCTCCCAAGAGGGCCCCGAGCGACAGAAAGCGTCGATTTCTACTGTGTTTTTCAGTGTTTTCGGCCTCCTCGCCTCTTCGGCTTTCCGACGCTCCAAGACGGCCCAAGAAGTCCCCCCGACCGCTCCAAGACGGCCGAAGAGGACCCCAAGAGAGCCCCAAGACGGGCCAGGAGGGCCCCCAGACGGTCCCAAGACGCCGCAGGACGGCCCCAGGACGGCCCAGGAGGCGCCCAAGACGGCCCAAGAGGGACCCAAGACGGCCCCAGGAGCGGCCCAAGACGGCCCAAGACAGCCCAAGAGCGCCCAAGACGTCCGAGATTCGCCCCAGGAGGCCCTCGAGGCGTCCAAGACGCCCGAAGAGGCCTCCCAAGAGGCCTCCCAAGAGGGCCCCGAGCGACAGAAATCGTCGATTTCTATTGTGTTTGTCAATGTTTTTGGCCTCCTCGCCTCGTCGGCTTTCCGACGCTCCAAGACGGCCCAAGACGCCCCCCCGACCGCTCCAAGACGGCCGAAGAGGATACCAAGAGAGCCCCAAGACGGGCCAGGAGGGCCCCAAGACGGTTCCAAGACGCCGCAGGCGGCCACCAGACGGCCCAGAGGCCCTAAGACGCCCAAAGGCAACCAAGTCGCCCCCCAGGAGCGGCCCAAGACGGCCCAAGACAGCCCAAGAGCGCCCAAGACGCCCGAGATTCGCCCCAGGAGGCCCTCGAGGCGTCCAAGACGCCCGAAGAGGCCTCCCAAGAGGCCTCCCAAGAGGGCCCCGAGCGACAGAAATCGTCGAGTTCTATTGTGTTTGTCAATGTTTTCGGCCTCCTCGCCTCGTCGCCTTCCCGACGCTCCAAGACGGCCCAAGACGCCCCCCCGACCGCTCCAAGACGGCCGAAGAGGACCCCAAGAGAGCCCCAAGACGGGCCAGGAGGGCCCCAAGACGGTCCCAAGACGCCGCAGGACGGCGTCCGGACGCGCCCAAGACGGCCCAAGAGGCACCCAAGACGGCCCCAGGAGCGGCCCAAGACGGCCCACGACAGCCGAAGAGGCGCCAAGGAGGGCCTCAGATGGCCCGAAGACGGCCCAAGAGGCACCCAAGACGGCCCGAGAGAGCCCTTAGAGCCCCCCCGCGAGGCCCAAACGAAGGCCGAAGAGGCTCCGAAACGGCCCCTACGAAGCCTTCAGTGCCTTCAGAATTCCTTCCAGGAGCGGGGGAGCGAACGAGAGGCGACCGGCATATCGAAGGCACAAAAGAACAATGTTGGACGCTCCGAGGGCCTTCGATGTTTCTCTGTTGGGGAGAGTCGTCGTAGGATCGACGATTGCCGACCGAGGGCATGGAGAATCCAGCGAAAGAGGAGAAGAAGGTGGAAAAGGAGGAGGAGGAGGAGGAGGAGCCCGACGCCATCATGATTGCCTTTCGGCCCTGCAGCCGCACCCCCCCGCGCTTGCCCAGAGACCCCTCGCCACGTCGAGCTGATGTCGTGGACGGAGTCCACAGGTCTGCCCTAGTCAGCTACAATGCAGGGATCAGGGCGTGCGAGAAGGGCGGGCAGTGGCAGCTGGCGTTAGCGCTGATGAGCGTGATGTGGGAGGCGAACCTGGAGCATGACGTCATCAGCTACGTCGTGGGGATCAGTGTATGCGAAAGTACAGGGACAAACTATTCGACCCACCACGCACTTGAGGGGAATGTTCATGACCCCCCCCACCCCCGAAATCAGGGTTGATTACCTAACAGCGAAGACTGATAGGTTTCTAGTGGTCTCAAAAGAGCTCACAGATCACTCCACAGGGGGGTCCGGGCAGGTGTTGGGGAGTTGCCGGGCGGCAGGGTGCCGGGCTCGTTTTTCACCAACAGTCACACACTTCGTGCTCTTCGCCTTCCCAGAACTCCATTCCCAGGCCACATTCTGAATACCCGGATGCAACAGTCACACACTTCGTGCTCTTCGAGATCCCAGAACGCCATTCCCGGGCCACATTCTGGAGGGCCGTATGCAACAGTCACACACATCGTGCTCTTCGAGTTCCCAGAACTCCATTCCCGGGCCACATTCTGGATGCCCGGAGCCAACTGTAGGCCACTTCGTGCTCTTCGATTTCCCAGAACTCCATTCCCGGGCCACATTTTGAATGCCCGGAGCCAACTGTAGTCCACTTCGTGGTCTTCGAGTCCCCAGAACTCCATTCCCGGGCCACATTTTGAATGCCCGGAGCCAACTGTAGGCCACTTCGTGCTCTTCGAGTTCCCAGAACTCCATCCCCGGGCCACATTTTGAATGCCCGTAGCCAACTGTAGGCAACTTCGTGCTCTTCGACTTCCCAGAACTCCCATTCCTGGGCCACATTTTCAGCAGGGGCAAGAGCACGACGAGGAGGAGGACGAGCAAGACCAGGAGGACGAGGACGAGCAGGAGAAGGACGAGGAGCAGGAGGAGCAGGAGAAGAAGGACGAACCGGAGGATGAGGAGAACGAGCAGGAGGAGAGGACGAACCAGGAGGAGAGACAGACCAGGGAAGAGGAGTAGAGGAGAGGGGAGGGGAGGAGTACCTAGAGAGGTGGTGGAAAAAGGAGTAGGAGGAGTATGAAAGAGGAGGAGGAGGAGGACGAGGACGAGGAGGGAGGAGGAGGAGGGGGGGGAGAGGTACCGAGGCGGAGGAGAACGAGGACCACCGAGGTAGGAGGAGGAGGAGGAGGAGGAAGGAGGAGGAGGAGGAGAGAGAACACCACCGAAGGAGGGACGAGCAAGAAGAGGAGACGAGAAACGAGGACGACCAGGAGAAAGGAGGAGGATGAGGAGGAGGAGGAGGAGAAGGAGGGGGAAGGGGAGGAGGAGGAGGAGGAGGAGGAGGAGGAGGAGGAGGAGGAGGAGGAGGAGGAGGAGGAGGAGGAGGAGGAGGAGGACGAGGATGAGGAGGAGGAGGGGGGGGGAGAGCACCAGGAGGAGGAGAACGAGGACCACCAGGAGGAGGAGGAGGAGGAGGAGGAGGAGGAGGAGGAGGAGGAGGAGGAGGAGGAGGAGAGAGCACCAGGAGGAGGAGGACGAGCAAGACGAGGAGGACGAGAACGAGGACGAGCAGGAGGAAGAGGAGGAGGAGGAGGAGGAAGAGGAGCAGGAGAAACAGGAGGAGGAGGAGGCAGGCTGAGGCTGTGACTGCGACTGCCGTTGCCGCTGCGACTGTCATCGCGAATGCGACTACGACTGCGAGAACAGCAGAATTCGACAACTGGATTTTCATATGAATCTTAAGGGGAATGCTTTCAGATATGCTTCTACACATCGCTGTTAGGTTGCTTTGCCGGGATAATTACCTAACAGCGTAGACTGATAGGTTTCTAGTTGACTCAAAAGAGCTCACAGATCACTCCACAGGGGGGTCCGGGCAGGTGTTGGGGAGTTGCCGGGCGGCAGGGTGCCGGGCTCGTTTTTCACCAACAGTCACACACTTCGTGCTCTTCGCCTTCCCAGAACTCCATTCCCAGGCCACATTCTGGGGGGCCGGATGCAACAGTCACACACAAAGTGCTCTTCGACATCCCAGAACGCCATTCCCGGGCCACATTCTGGGGGGCCGGATGCAACAGTCACACACTTCGAGCTCTTCGAGTTCCCAGAACGCCATTCCCGGGCCACATTTTGGATGCCCGGAGCCAACTGTAGGCCACTTCGTGCTCTTCTATTTCCCAGAACTCCATTCCCGGGCCACATTTTGAATGCCCGGAGCCAACTGTATGCCACTTCGTGCTCTTCGAGTTCCCAGAACTCCATTCCCGGGCCACATTTTGAATGCCCGGAGCCAACTGTAGGCCACTTCGTGCTCTTCGAGTTCCCGGAACTCCATTCCCGGGCCGCATTTTGAATGCCCGTAGCCAACTGTAAGCAACTTCGTGCTCTTCGACTTCCCAGAACTCCCATTCCTGGGCCACATTTTCAGCAGGGGCAAGAGCACGACGAGGAGGAGGACGAGCAAGACCAGGAGGACGAGGGCGAGCAGGAGCAGGACGAGGAGCAGGAGGAGCAGGAGAAGAAGGACGAGCAGGAGGAGGAGGAGGACGAGCAGGAGGAGGAGGACGACCAGGAGGAGGAGGACGACCAGGAAGAGGAGGAGGAGGAGGAGGAGGGGAGGGGGAGGACTACCAGGAGGAGGAGGAGGAGGAGGAGGAGGAGGAAGAGGAGGAGGAGGAGGAGGAGGAGGAGGAGGAGGAGGAGGAGGAGGAAGAGGAGGAGGAGGACGAGGAGGAGGAGGAGGAGGAGGACGAGGAGGAGGAGGTGGGGGGAGAGCACCAGGAGGAGGAGAACGAGGACCACCAGGAGGAGGAGGAGGAGGAGGAGGAGGAGGAGGAGGAGGAGGAGGAGGAGGAGGAGGAGGAGAGAGCACCAGGAGGAGGAGGACGAGCAAGACGAGGAGGACGAGAACGAGGACGACCAGGAAGAGGAGGATGAGGAGGAGGAGGAGGGGAGGGGGAGGACTACCAGGAGGAGGAGGAGGAGGAGGAGGAGGAAGAGGAGGAGGAGGACGAGGAGGAGGAGGAGGAGGAGGAGGACGAGGAGGAGGAGGGGGGGGGAGAGCACCAGGAGGAGGAGAACGAGGACCACCAGGAGGAGGAGGAGGAGGAGGAGGAGGAGGAGGAGGAGGAGGAGGAGAGAGCACCCGGAGGAGGAGGACGAGCAAGACGAGGAGGACGAGAACGAGGACGAGCAGGAGGAAGAGGAGGAGGAGGAGGAGGAGGAGGAGGAGGAGGAGGAGCAGGAGAAAAATGAGGAGGAGGAGGAGGAGGAGGAGGAGGAGGAGGAGGAGGAGGAGGAGCAGGAGAAAGAGGACTAGCAGGAGGAGCACGAGGACGAGCAGGAGGAGGAGGAGGAGGACGAGCAGGAGGGGAGGGCGGCCGGCTGCCCCGGCCGGCTCCTACACATGGCTGTTAGGTTGCTTTGCCGGGATAATTGTTGTTGCTGTTGTTGTTGTTGTTGTTGTTAATATTATGAAAATTGTTGTTGCTGTGGCTGAAGTTATTGTTGTTGTGGCTGTTGTGGTTGCCGTTGTTGTTGGTGTTGCTGTTGTTGTTGTTGCTGTTGTTGCTGTTTTTGTTGCTGTTGTTGTTGTTGTTGTTGTTGTTGTCGTTGTTACCTAACAGCTTGTTCTGATAGGTTTCTTACCTAACAGCGTAGACTGATAGGTTTCTAGTTGACTCAAAAGAGCTCACAGATGACTCCACAGGGGGGTCTGGGCGGGTGCCGGACAGGGTGCCGCAGAAGTCGTTTTAAGCCAACAGTCACACACTTCGTGCTCTTCGACATCCCAAAACTCAATTCCCGGGCCACATTCTGAATGCCCGGAGCCAACTGTAGGCCACTTCGTGGTCTTCGAGTTCCCAGAACTCCATTCCCGGGCCACATTTTGAATGCCCGGAGCCAACTGTAGGCCACTTCGTGGCCTTCGAGTCCCCAGAACTCCATTCCCGGGCCACATTTTGAATGCCCGGAGCCAACTGTAGGCCACTTCGTGCTCTTCGAGTTCCCAGAACTCCATTCCCGGGCCACATTTTGAATGCCCGGAGCCAACTGTAGGCCACTTCGTGCTCTTCGAGTTCCCAGAACTCCATTCCTGGGCATGATTTTGAATGCCCGGAGCCAACTGTAGGCCACTTCGTGTTCTTCTAGTTCCCAGAACTCCATTCCTGGGCACATTTTGAATGCTGAGGCAGGCTGATGCTGCGGCCGAGGCAGGCTGAGGCTGAGGCAGGCTGAGGCTGAGGCCGAGGCTGAAGCAGACTGAGGCTGAGGCTGAGCAGACTGAGGCTGAGGCTGAGGCAGGCTGAGGCTGAGGCTGAGGCAGGCTGATGCTGAGGCAGGCTGAGGCTGAGGCTGAGGCTGATGCAGGCTGAGGCTGAGGCAGCTGAGGCTGAGGCCGAGGCTGAAGGCAGACTGAGGCTGAGGCTGAAGCAGGCTGAGGCTGAGGCTGAGGCAGGCTGAGGCTGAGGCAGGCTGAGGCTGAGGCTGAGGCAGGCTGAGGCTGAGGCTGTGACTGCGACTGCCGTTGCCGCTGCGACTGTCATCGCGAATGCGACTACGACTGCGAGAACAGCAGAATTATACAACTGGATTTTCATCTGAATCTTAAGGGGAATGCTTTCAGATATGCTTCTACACATCGCTGTTAGGTTGCTTTGCCGGGATAATAATGGGGTCAAAAGAGAGCAGCAGATGACTCCACAGGGGGGTCTGGGCGGGTGCCGGACAGGGTGCCGCAGAAGTCGTTTTAAGCAAACAGTCACACACTTCGTGCTCTTCGACCTCCCAGAACTCCATTCCCGGGCCACATTTTGAATGCCCGGAGCCAACTGTAGGCCACTTCGTGGTCTTCGAGTCCCCAGAACTCCATTCCCGGGCCACATTTTGAATGCCCGGAGCCAACTGTAGGCCACTTCGTGCTCTTCGAGTTCCCAGAACTCCATTCCCGGGCCACATTTTGGATGCCCGGAGCCAACTGTAGGCCACTTCGTGGTCTTCGAGTTCCCAGAACTCCATTCCCCGGGCGAGATTTTGGATGCCCGGAGCCAACTGTAGGCCACTTCGTGGTCTTCGAGTTCCCAGAACTCCATTCCCGGGCCAGATTTTGGATGCCCGGAGCCAACTGTAGGCCACTTCGTGGTCTTCGAGTTCCCAGAACTCCATTCCCGGGCAGATTTTGGATGCCCGGAGCCAACTGTAGGCCACTTCGTGGTCTT